AAAGAATCTCGCCTCTTAGTTTGAAGGTAAATCGTTTACCTTTATTTTAATTTATTGTTTTAGATTGTTCTATAATCTGTTAGGATTATAATTTAGGTTTGGTTGTAATGCATTAAGATTATAATTTAGGCATGAAATTTATAGATTTTAAAATTTATATATGTAATTTTGTGATATAGTGAACACATGCACTATATGATCGATAGCTAAAATTTTTTTAACTAACCATAGTTCTGTTAATCGCCATCTTTAAATTTTGTTGGCATAATTTTGGATGAATAATATGAATTAAAATCATAAACATTTTCAGAATTTAAAAGAAAAAAAAAATCCAGCCGTTTAATTCCTTTTCAATACATATGCATTGTTCTTCTAAATTTAGATAATTTTTTTTTTGTTGGTATCTTTGATGATTTTAATTGCTATTAATTAATTAGACTGATTTACCAAATTCTATTACTCAATATTTAAAAAAAAATTGGAGATGGCAAACAACTCTTACACCAATTATCTAGATTCTACAATACACCTTTCCCACAACAACGTCGAGTTAATTTACAAAATTTTCATTTGTCAAGAAAATTTTAATTATAATGTTATAATTTACACAATTTAGTTACTTATTTTTTACTGAAATTTATTATTTTACAGCTTGCTCCTTGTACCAGAAAGGGAAAGATGGCTTTCACGGGTTCTATTCCGATCGATGAGGAGGGAGTTCTCTATTGCCCGATTTCGTCCTATGCCTCTGATCCCATTAGAGAGAAGAAGTTGGAGCTCGCAGAACAGGAGATCAAATCACTAAAGGAGGATAATTGCATTCTAAAGGAAGCCTCCAACAGCTTCTATGAAATGTTTGCGATACTCGGGGCTACGAATCCAATGATTGCAGAGATGATGAGAAAGAAGAGGGAAACAGCAACGACAAGAGGAGAAGGAACATCCGGAACATCGAACTATTTTGTTTCGGGATTATTTGATATGAACTCGCATTGATTTTATTTTGTTTTTGATGTATTAAATATTTGAGTTTTTTTAGTAACATCTAATATTAAATATTCAGTTTTATGTAATTAATCTGATTTTAAAATTTCATCATTTTAATTTTTTTCAAAATTAAATTAATTAAAAATAGATATTTTATAATATAAAACGGATATAATATTTTGTCGCAAAAACGTCATAAAATTAACAGATGCAAATATTTTACACGCAAAAACGTCGCAAAAACTAAAACGTCGCACAAACCACGCAAAACGTAAAAATCTTAAATTCTCCGCACTTAAAAGGCACGCAAAATTGACGCAAATGCCACGCTATATCACTAAACGTAATCTCCTCGTTACAAGACATCACCCAATTATGTCGCA